CTCTCTCTCTCTCTCTCTCTCTCTCTCTCTCTCTCTCGTCTCTCTCTCTCTCTCTCTCTCTCTCTCTCTCTCTCTCTCTCTCTCTCTCTCTCTCTCTCTCTCTCTCTCTCTCTCGCTCGCCTTACTATAGTTATTTCCTTCTCGCTCCCTAATTCTCGAGTCCTCCCTTTCCTTTTCTCGTTATTTCCTTCTCTATCTCTATTTCTCTCCTTTTGCCCTCCCGCTTCTCCGTCTCTCTTACTCCCTCTCTTTCGTCATCGTTATCTCCTTCTCGCTCCCTCCCTCTTGTTATTTCAACTCCTTTTCACTACGTTTCTCCTTCTCTGTTTCCTCCTTTTCTACTCTCTCTCTCTGTTTCTTTTTTCTCCTTTTCCTTCTCTCTCCCTTCGTTCTATCCACTTCCACTTCCCTCCCTCTCTTTCTCCATCTGCTCACTTTCTTTCGCTCTCTCCCTCTCGTTCTGTCTGTCTCTAATCTTTTGTTCTTCTTCTTCTTTCTCTCTTCTTCTCTCTCTCTCGTCTCTCTCTCACTCTCTCTCTCTCTCTCTCTCTCTCTCTCTCTCTCTTTCTCTCTCTCTCTCTCTCTCTCTCTCTCTCTCTCTCTCTCTCTCTCTCTCTCTTCTCTCTCTCTCTCTCTCTCTCTCTCTCTCTCTCTCTCTCTCTCTCTCTCTCTCGCTCGCTCCCTCATTTTCCCTCCCCTCCTCTCTCTCCCTGCCCCTCTCGCCCCCCCCCCTCCCCTCTTGCCCTCTCCCTCTTGACCCCAAGCATCCGGGTAGTCACAAGACCTCTAACCCCCCCCCCCCGTTCCCCCAACCCACAGACCCACCAAAGTTATGCATCGAAGGTTTTCTTGGTTCTTATTTCTCGTCAAAACATGTTCGTCCAGTGACCAACCCTTACGTGTTTTTTTTTTTTTTTGGGGGGGGGAGGGGGGGTTTGTGTGTGTGTGTGTGTGTGTGTGTGTTATGTGTGCGTATATGCGTATGTGTTCTATGTGTTAGTGTGCGTGTATCTGTGCTCCTGCGCGTGTATGTGCGTATGTGTTCTTCCCTGCATACACGTCTGGGGCGTAACACGTCGCTAACATGTCTCAGAGACGCTCAGCCTCACCAGCGCCAGAGGTCATCCTCAAGCAAAAAAAAAAAAAAAAACGAGAACACACGAACACACAAACACACTCGCGTAGTATATAAGCAAGTGGGACTCCGTAAGTGGCCAGTGACACTCTGTCTACGCCACGAACAACTACTCCCGCGATGCCGCCTTGGAGTACATCGAGACGAAAGGGTTTGTTCTGTCTTGGTCTGTCTGTCTGTCTGTTGTCTGTTTGTCTCTCTTTCTCTTTTTGTCTGTCTTCTGTCTGATGTCTCTGGTCTCTCTTCTCTCTCCTCTCCTCGTCTCTCTCTCTGTCTCTCTCTCTCTCTGTCTCACCTCTCTCTCTCTCTCTCTCTCTACTCTCTTCTCTCTCTCTCTCTCTCTCTCTCTCTCTATCTCCTCTTCTCTCTCTCTCTCTCTCTTCTTCTTCTCTCCTCTCTCTCTCTTCATCTTCTCTCTCTCTCTCTCTCTCTCTCTCTCTCTCTCTCTCTCTCTCTCTCTCTCTCTCTCTCTCAGACACACGGCGTAATATCCACACACACATGCAAAATTAAGTGCGTCATAACGACACGTACCCATGGACTACTGTAGTGTATATATATATATATATATATATATATATAGTATATATATATATATATATATATATATATGGTGGTGTGTGTGTGTGTGTGTGTGTGTGTGTGTGTGTGGTGTGTGTGTGTGTGTGTGTGTCGTGTGTGTGTGTGTGTGTGTGTGTTGTGGTGTGTCTGTGTTTGCGTATGTATATATGTATGCGCGTATTGTGTGTGTGTATTTGTGTTTTTTTGTGTGTGTGTTTGTGTATGTAAGTGTGTATTCACCCAATACATATAACCATTCTTCAAATCATCCCATTCCCTCCTCAAGGATATTTCTTTTTTCTTTTCTTTTTCTTTTTATAAAGGGTGACCGTGATTTACACATTAGTGAAGTGACAAAGAACGAAGACGAAGGGAGAAGCGAAGTGTAAAGAGAAGACGAAACTTTCTCGACATCTACACCCGCGAGTGGATATCTTCACAATACAAGAGATGGATTTAACCGGTTCCGATTCCACCTTCGTCAGAAAATCCATGTGTTTATGACGAAGATGGAATCGAAACCAGTCCAAATCCATCTCTCGTATTGTGAAGATTTCTTATATTTCTTATATTTAAGATATTTAAGATATTTCTTAATATTTATTTCTTATATTTCTTATATTTAAGATATTTCTCATATTTTCTTATATTTAAGATATTTCTTATATTTAAGATATTTTAAGATATTTCTTATATTTAAGATATTTAAAATATTTCTCTTATATTTTATTTCTCGTATTGTGAAGATATCCATTCTCATTCATAGCTTTTTTTACATTTGTCAACACGAATGAGGTTCATCTACAGCAGCGCCTCCGACTGTGTACCCTGCAGCCTGTGTCCCGTACCTTCAACCAGAGTGTAATTAATGTAGTGCGTGGTGCTGCTGTGTGTGTGCGTGTGTCGGTGTGTGTGTGTTTGTGTATGGGGGTGTGTGTGTGTGGTGTTTGTGCATCATGTGTGTGGGTTTGTGTGTGTGTGTTTGTGTGTAGCTGTAATGTGTTTCAAGCAATCGCCCGTGTGTATGTGTCTGTGTGTGTGTGTGCGTGTGTGAGTGTGGTATGTGTGTGTTTTACCTTAAAGGTGTTCGGAGTCGTCGGTGACAGTGTGCTAGAATGCGATGAGGGAGACGGAGAGAGGAAGAGGGAAGGGAGAAGAGAGAAATAGACGGAGAGGGGAAGAGGGAAGGGAGGGAAGAAAGAAGAGAGATATAGGAGGAGGACGAGGAGGACAGTGTGCGGTCGGTGCGAGGGGCAGGAGAAGAGAGAATAGAGAAGAGGGAAGGTAGAGAGGAGCGAGACGATGTCGTAGGACAGTGTGCGGTGGAGGGAGACGGAGAGAGGAAAGGAAGGGAGGGAAGGGGAAAAAGGCAGAATATAGGAGAGAGGAGGAGGAGGATGGAAGGAGGGAAGGGAAGAAGAAGAGAGATATAAAAGGAGAAGATATAGGAGAGATATAAGAGGAGGAGATATATAGGAGATAGATATAGGAGAGAGATATAGGAGGAGGAGGAGGAGGACGTTAAGGAGGAGGAGGAAAGAGAGATATAAAGGAGCAAGATACAGAGAGATATAAGAGTGAGATATAGGAGATAGATATAGGAGAGATTATAGGAGGAGGAGGAGGAGGGAGGAGGAAGGAACGTAAGGAGGGAGGAGGGAAGGAGGGGAGGAGGACAGATTTAGAACACTCGACTTCCTCGTCGGGTTTTCGCGGTTTCTTGTACTTTGTTTGCTTCTGTCTGTCTCTCTTTTCTTCTTTGTTTGTATGTGTATCTTTTTCTCTTTTCTTTCTTATCTGTCTTCTCTCGTTTCGCTTTTATATCTGTCTTCTCTTTCTTCTCTTCTCTCCTCTCTCTCTCTCTTCCTATTCTCTTCTTTCTCTTTCTCCCTTCCTTCCCTTTTCCGTTTTCCTCCCTCTCCTTCTACCCCCTTTTCATTTCTCTCTCCTTCTTATCCTTATCCTTATCCGTTCCCTTTCTTTTCCTCTTCTTCTTCTTCTCCTTCACTCTCTCCTCCGCCTCTTCCCTCTCATTCTCATTCCCCTTCTTCTTTTCCTTCTCCTCGTCTTCTCCTTCTCTCCTTCTTTACCTCCTCTTCCTCTCTCTCTATCTCCTTCCTTTTCTCTTTCTCCCTCCTCTTCTCCTATTTTCCACTCCTATCTCTTCCTACCTTCATTATCTCCTCGTTCTCCTTCATTTTCCTGCTTTTCCTTTACTTTTTCCCCTTCCCCTTCTTCGCATTCTCTTCCTCCCTCTCTATCTCCTTTTCCTCCTACTGCTTTTCTTTCTCCTTCTCCCTCTCACTTACCTCTTTTCCGTCTCGTTTTCATCTATTTCATTCCTCCTTCATCTTCACTCCTTTCTTTTCCTCTCTTCTTCTCCTTCTCCTACTCTCTTGATCTCCTTTCTCTCCTTCCCTCCCTCTTCAATCTTTTTTTTCCTTTACTTCTCCCTCTTCTCTCCTTCCTATCCCGACTCTCTTCACTCTCCTCCCCATTTCTCCTTCTTTTCTCTACTCTCCCTTCATCTCCCCCTTTCTCCTTCTCTTCCTTTCCTACTCTCTTCATCTCCTCCCCATTTCTCCTTCTCCTCTTTCTTCTCTTTCTTTTCCCTACTCTCTTCATCTCCCCTTCTCTTTCTCCTTTTTCTTACTCTCTTCATCTCCCCTTTTCTCTTTCTCCTTTTCCTTCTCTTTTCCTTCTCCATCTCCAAGATTAAGAAGTTCAGAGTCAGAGCAGAGCACAGAAAGGAGTTTGGTAAATTCTCATTATACTTTAGAATTATTTTCATTAACATATTATATTGTTGCTGTTCTAACAACTACTGGCACTGGACATTGCCTGTATTTGTGTGGCCTTGTTTGTTTGTTTGTATGTTTGTGTCTGTTTTATTATTGTTTATTTGTTTGTTTGTATTTTTGTTATTGTTTATTTGTATTTTATTGTTGTTTATATGTTTGTTTGTATCTATTTGTATGTTTGTAGATGTATTTTTATAAGTATTTGTTTGTGTGTTTTTGTGTGGGTGTTTGTGAGTAATTGATTCGCTCGCACGGGTGTGTACTTGTGTTTGTGAGTGTGACTGTGTTTGTGTGTCTGTACGTATAGCGGTGTGTTCGTCGATAGCGTGTGCTATTGAACGTATTGTGCGCGCTCGTTCGTGTGTGTCCGTATACTGAATGTGATAACTGCATGTGCGAGCGAGCGTGTGCGTGCCCGTGTGTGCATCTCCAGGTGCACACGCCTCTCGTATATTCTCCTGTAAAACCTGGTGCGAACTCCCCGTCTCCAGCTTAGGTGCGTCGCGGAGTCACGGCTTCTGTCCCGAGAGACTGAATAGGGGGATTAAGAACAGAATGCAAGAATAGCGGCTACAATGCCCCTGTATCGCGCTGATGTCACTTGCTCAGAAAACCAGCAAGTATACGAAGTGTCAGCAGTGTCAGCAGCAGCGTTGCCACATAGACCCCCTCCAGGAGAGCGAGTGCCAGGCCAGAGGAAGCCCGATTTGGCAACAGCGCTCGTGCGGCGTCCGGTCCCGACAGCGGCCAACCCGCGGCCCTCTTAGTCGAGTCGCGGCGCCACGAACGCGAAGAGCACCCGGCAGCTCTTCGGCGCACGAAGGAACCCCAGCGCCCGCCTCCTTTCCCTCTCTTCCTGGATCTCGCCGAAGGACTCCCGACGAGGAAGGAGGAGAAGCCTGTTTCGCCGTCCGTCCTCCGAGTCCTGGGCCTCCTCGTCCTCCTTTCTTCCTTCCACCACCTCGTGAGTGCGCGGTCTCGGAGTCCCTCTTTGGCGAAGGAGGAGGAGGAGGAGAGAGGGAGAAGCAATATGGCGTTGGACTCTCTCTCTCTCTCTCCAACATGGCTTCGTGATGAGGTCATAGCTGTGCTTGATCTTTGATGACGTCACGAGGAGAAAATGCTATTTAAAAGTCTTTTTTATGATCGTTAAATCGGAAACAAATAGACACGAAAAGGCATAGTACGAAGAGCGAGTGCGAATATAATGAATAAAGAGTGATATAGCGACACAGCAAATAAACGAGGCTAAAGAAGGAGAAAAAAAAGAAAAACCTAAGGCCCTCTCTATTGTTTTTTGTTAATATAAATATTCGGACTTCCAAAAAGGAGAGAAAAAAAACAGAGAATTGGAAAAGTTAGCTCGTTCGTTCTCGCTCGACCTGTGTCGTTCTTTGTCCGAAATAGAGGTTGAGAGTTGACGAAATACCTCAACGGAAGCTGAACAAAGGACCTGAACACAAAGATTAGTATGCCCACACGACACTTACCCCCCCCTCCCCCCCCTTCGTGCCCCTCGTACCCCCCATGCCCGCCCACATATTCCGCTGTACAGGTGAAGTCGACGCAGGGCGGGCCGTGCGGCGTGAGGGGCCGGATGGCGAGGCAGCTGGAGTCCCGGGAACACAGAGAGAGAGACGAGAAATTATAACAGATTTCTGCATTGGCGGATATCCCGGGTCAGTCTCTCCAGCTGTTCGGTGTTTTGTTTTAGGAGTTGCTTTGTGGATGTTAGACCCGTCTCGATGGCGAAGGAAAGGAGATAAAGAGGGAATTGAAGCCTTAGTGACGAAAGCAGTGGGTGTGGCGAACCAATGACGATGAATTTCGAGCCCAGAAAAAAAAAATAATCGTTCATTTTATTCCCGTACAAGAATAAAACGAAGTGTCCGTGTTACCGATTGTACTTTTTTATTTAAAAATTTCTCTCTTAATATATATATATATTAAACGTTCGCGGAAGAATCTCCAGAATTTTACTTTTTCTTCCGGAGGCGCGGAGGGTGCTGGCCAACTCATCCAAGATGGCGGACTCGGATCTCTCTCTCTTTGGCCTCTTCGTCAAGGTCGGAGAATTTCGAACGCTTTGCTGTCGAAAAAAAGACGAATTAGATATAACGACGCGAAACAACCATAGGGCGAAGATGGTTATTTAAAGCGCGGGGGAAGCCTAGGTGGCGAGGGGGGGGAGGGAGGGGATTTAAAGAGGAGCAGCAAGAGTTATTCTTGGAGACGGGAAAGCGCCGAGGTGGTGGGATACGGGGGGGGGAGGTAGGGGGGAGGGAAAGGCACGGAGGAGATGGGGGGGGGAAGCGAAGGGAGGAAGGGGGGCGGGTGGCGAAGGGAGGAGGGGGGAAGGGGAGAGGAGGAGGCGGGGGAGCCGGGAAGGGGGAGGAAGGAGAGAGGAGGTGGAGGAGGGGAAAGGGGAGGAGGAGGGGAAGGGAGAGGAGGAGGAGGTGGAGGAGGAAGGGGAAGGGAGGAGGGGAAGGGGGAGGGGAGGAGGGGAGAGGGGTTAGCGACGGAGAGCGAGCAAGTGGGGAAGGGCAGGATAGCGGGCTGGGGGGGGGGGGGGGGGAGGGGAAGGAGGGGAGGGGAGGAGGGAGGGGGAGGGCCAACACGAACTACCGAGACCAAGTCGCGAAAGTGGGGGTAAGAGGAGAGGGGCGGGGGGGGGGAGGGGGGCTAGTGAAGGTGGCAGTGGTGGGTGGAGGAAAGATTCTAGGGGAGGGGGCGGGAGGTGGGAGGGGGTGAGGGGACGTGCAGGGACCCGGATGTTGCAATTCCACGCAACTTTTACACGTTACCAGATTGGTCCAATTATCAAAAAATAATCATAATAATAAATAAATAAAAAATAAGAAAAATAAAATAAAAAATAAAGATAAATTAATAAAAAAAAGCATTAAAAATCCAATTGTCAAAAATAAATGAACAAATAAATAAATATAAACAATAGGAAAAAATAAAACAAAATCAGAAATATTTACCCATTACAGTTCCGAGATTTTGAACATTTTCTTTGAAGATCTTTTTAATAAAACAAGAACAAGGAATTAATAAGAAGCGAATAAAGGAAAGAATTGCAATAAAAATGGGGAAGAAAGTGGGCGGGATGGGCTGAATGGGAAGAGAAAGTGGGCGTGGAAGACAGTGAAGAAAGAAGGAGGAAATCAAATTGTTGATGATGGCGATAATAAGAAAAGCCATATAAATATAATAAGAAAAAAACATAATAAATAAACAAGAAGTACCAAAGGAAATGAACAATTAATATATATGTTTAACAGTGTGTTTTGTTCATTTTGTTCATCGATGTTATACAACGAATAAATAGATTGAAATGAAAAGAAATAGATATATACAGAAAATAGATATAAATATAAGAAATAATTTTGTGAATAGAAATAGTGATGTTATTGTGAACAGGGAGAGTGATGTTCATTTTTTTTATGTGAATGGTGATAGTGGTTATTGTTCATGAGCTGAAGTGATGGTGATGTTGCTAATCATGATGTGAAGTGATGGTGATGTTATTGTGAATGATGACTGACATGATTATGATGTGAAATGAAAGTGATGTTGCTATTCGTGATGTGAAAAGTGATGGTGATGATTTTATTGATGTGAATGATGACTGTGAGGATGTATAGGATTATGATGTGAAGGTAAAGTGTTGATGTTACTAATCGTGATGTGAATGGTGATAGTAATATAATGGTTCTGATGTGAAATGATTGTGATATGACTATTCATGATGTGAAAGTGATGTAACTATACTCTGAATTTCTGATGTTATAGTGAACGTTACAATTCATGAATGTGAATGAGTGATAGTGAACTTATCACTCTCACTGTCATGTTAGAATGGTGATAGTGATATTATGATCTGATGGTTGAAATGACAGTGATTGTTACAGTTCATTGTGAATGGTGATAGTGATATTATGATACTGAAGTAATAAGGTTGTTACTAACCATGATGTGATATTGACGTTGCTATTGTTGACAGTGAGATGTGATTTTAGCAACTGTATGACTCATGTCACTCACCGCCAACCTGGTGGATGTGACTCACTCGAAACAAATGACTCACTAATGAGATTTTAGTTGAACAGGTCATTTTTTTTTTTCATTATTTGTTTCAATTATTTCAGTTTGCTCATTATTTTTTTCATTTTTTCAGTTACGAATTATTCCTTCTTTTTATCAGATTCTCGCTTGTATCGTTTGGAATTAAGTAAACAGAGGAAGTGCGAGGAGGATGAATGAGACTTAAAAATAGACGGATAAATCTACGGTCTTCGCACGCCAGGTTATATTTCATTTCTGGTTACAGTCTTCTTAAGCGTTAATTTTTCCTTCGCTTTTTCTTTGCTTCTTCTTCTTCTTCTTCTCTCTCTCTCTCTCTCTCTCTTTCTCTTTGTTTCTCTCTCTCTGACGTCTCTTTCGCTCTTCTCTCTGTCTCTGTCTCTGTGTCTCTGTCTCTGTCTCTGTCTCTGTCTCTGTCTCTGTCTCTGTCTCTGTCTCTGTCTCTGTCTCTGTCTCTGTCTCTGTCTCTGTCTCTCTCTCTCTCTCCTCTCTCTCTCTCTCTCTCTCTCTCTCTCTCTCTCTCTCTCTCTCTCTCTCTCTCTCCTCTCTCCCTCTCCCCCCTCCCTCCATTTTCCTACACCATTTCTTTCGCATTTTAAAAAAAAAAAAAAAAAAAAAAAAAAAAATACTAAGAGCACTTAAAATGAAAACTAGAGAAAAAAGGAGGGGAAAAATGAATTAACCCATCAGTATATATTACACACATTTTTTAAATTCATTTTTTCATTTACTTGTTTCTTCGTTTTAATTGTTTCTTTGTCCGGAGGTGACTCATAGTGAGGGTAGGGAGGGGAGAAGGGGGAGGGGGGGAGGGGGAGAGGGAGGGGAGGGGAGGGGAGAAGGGGGGCGAGGGAGGAGGAGGGAGGGGAGAAGGGGAGAGGGGAGAGGGAGGAAGGGGGATGGGGAGAAGGGGGAGTTGAGGGGAGGGGAAGGGGGAGGGGAGGGAGGGGGGAGGGAGGGAGGAGGGGAGAGGGTGCCAGACGTTCGAGCTTGATTAGAATTAGTTGATTAAAACTCGTGTATATTACAGCTGTTGGAGGGAAAGGGGAGAAGGAGGAGGAGGAGGAGGTAGGAGAGGAGGGGATAAGAGGAGATTGGGGTTAGGAGGAGGAGGAGGAGGAAGGGGTAGGAGGAGGGAGGAGGAGTAGGAGGAGGAGTGGAGGGGGAGGAGAGGAGTGGATAAGAGAAGGGGGTAGGAGGAGGGAGAGGAGAAGGAAGAAGGAGAAGGAGGAGGAGGAGGAGTAGTAGGTTGGGGAGAGGGAGAGTGGGGGTGGAGGAAGGGTGACGAGGGAGAAGGGGTAAGGAGGAAGAGGAGGGAGAAGGAAGGAAGGAGGAGGAGGAACAAGAGTGAAAAAAGGAGGAGGAAGGAGAGTGGGATGGGAGGTGGAGTGGGCGAGGGATAGGAGGAAGGAGGAAGAAGAGGAAGGGGAAATAAAGATGATTCCTTGAAAGGGTAATGATAATAACGATAGTGAAGATGATAATGGTAGTTATGATGACGAGACGAGCGATGATACTGATAATGATAACGACAAAGATAGGGTAAGTGATCATAACGATAATAATAGGGATGATAATAATAATGAAAGTGATGGTGATGATAGGGATGACAGTTAAGATAATGGTGATGATAATGATGATAGGGATGATGATAATAATAGGAATATTAATAAAGATAGAGATATTGATAATAACGATAAGGATGATAATAATAGTGATGGTAGTGATAATGATAGTGATGCTGATGATAACGAAAACTGTGATGATAATGATGATCATAACAGTGATTATGATGCTAATAGTGATGATGAAGATAATGATAGTAATGACTATGGCAATAATGACGGTTATGATGATGATGATAGTGACAAGGGCATTTATGATAATGATAATGAGAAAATGATGATGATAATGTCCAATTACAGTAATAGTGATGAAAGTGATAGTGATAATGCGTAGGTAAGAAAGGGGAAGAAGAGAGAAAGCGAGACAAATAGGACAAAGAGGAAAGTGTGCTAAAAACAGGAAGAACAGATAAAAGGAAGAAATTAATAGATGATAGAATATATATAGAATTTAAAAAAAGGTAAAACTAAGAAAAATGGAATTCGTAAGAAATGTAAATGAAAGAAAGAGTAAATAAACAAAAATATAATAACATGATATAATGATGTTTGTTTGTTTGTTTAATAAATATTAGATTTAATTACATGACTATTAATAGGTCTATTAATAGGTCTATGTTTTTGCGATTGTGAATGAAGAATGACAGGCAAGAGTGAATTAAAAACAAGGTATGAACAAATAACAAGAACAAAAACAAAGGGAGAATAACGAAGATGAACAAAAAAGAGAAACAAGTACAAGTGAAAATGCAAAAATGAAGGACCGGAAACTGTTATCAATTGCTTGTTTTGATTTTTTTTTTTTTTTTTATAAGAATGTTTTCTTTGTATCTTCTTTACTCTCGCTCGCTCGCGCTCTCTCTCCTTCTCTTCTTTCTTTCTTTCTTTCTTTCTTTCTTTCTTTCTCTCTCTCTCTCTCTCTCTCTCTCTCTCTCTCTCTCTCTCTCTCTCTCTCTCTTCTCTCTCTCTCTCTCTCTCTCTCTCTCTCTCTCTCTCTCTCTCACTCTCTCTCTCTCTCTCTCTTTCTCCCCCTCCCCTTCCTCCCTCCCTCCCCCTCTCTTTCTCTCTCTCTCTCTCACTCTCTCTCACTTTATTTCTCTCTCACACTTTCTCTCTCTCTTTATCAATTTATCTATCTCTCTTTCCCTCTTGATTTGTTTTATTTAAAGCCGATATTACGTACTGTAACCGTATTAAGATTTCTCGCGGTCAGACGTATGGTGCTCATAGGCCTACGCGCATATTAAGGTTATTTCTGAGTAATGATCACAAATCTAACCGAACCTAAGATAACATAACATAACCCGACCCAACCCAACCCAACCTAACCTAATAATCACAAACCGAACCTAGCCTAACCTAACCCAACCCAATCTAACCTAACCTAACCAAAAACTAACCAACCTTAATAACCTAGCCTAACTTAACCCAACCCCCAACCTAACCTAACCCAACCTAACCCAAACTTAACCCAACCTAACTAATCACAAACCGAACCTAACCTAACTTAACCCAACCCAATCCAACCTAACCTAACCCAACCCACCCCAGCATAACCTAACTCAGCGTAACCTAACCTACCTATCCTTGCCTATCCTAACCCAACCCAACCTAACTTAACCTAACCCAACCCAACAACCTAACCCAACCCTTAACCAATCTAACCTAAGCATCTTGTTTATTTCACCACGCGTGTGCAGAACGTCAACCGGGGCTTTTCTGCCGTACTCCTTATTTAATCAGATATTTCCTCATTTCCTCTAATATTCGTGCCGATGGAGCTTTATGCAAATGCGTAAAAAAAAAGAAAAAGAAAAAGAAGAAAAAAAAAACAGATTTCGTCCTTCTTATCCTTCTTATCTTTGTTGTTGTAATTATTATTGTTATTATTATTATTATCATTGTTTTTGTTGCTGTTGTTGTTATTATCAGCATTGATAATCATCAGCAATATTACTCTTTCGTCAGCCCTGTCTAACCCCCCCTCCCCCTCCCGCAGGCGTGGTGATGGTGGCTGACGTGGAGAACCAGAAGACGCCGCTCGTGACGGCCATGGAGATGGGCAAGCCGCAGCTGCGGGCTGACTCCGTGAACGAGCTCCTGGAGCGGGACGACGACGCGGGGCTGCGGCAGCTCGTGCAGAGGTTCTCGGAGGACCAGGTGCGGCGCCCCCAGCCCCTCCCCTCGCAGGCCGCCCACATCGTCACGTCCCTGCACGTCGCGGCGCAGAAGGGCAAGCTGAAGTGCATGCGCGTCCTGCTGGACAACTCTCCCTCCGCGGACGTGCTCGACGCGCCCGACCACGACGGCAACACGCCCCTCATGACGGGCGTGAAGGAGGCGCAGCACGAGGCCGTGAAGATGCTGCTGGAGGCCGGCGCGCACGTCAACGCGCGCAACAACAAAGGGCAAACCGCGCTGCACATCATCACTCTCGCCATCCACAAGAACGCCAAACCCGAGGAGGCGCTGCAGAAGACGGCGAAACTCCTCCTCGACTGGCACAACATCGACTTGGAGGCTCACAACGGGTCGGGCCTCACTGCGCTGGCCACCGCCGCCAGGTACCTGCCGGAGGGAAGCGGCGCGCCGCGCTCTGGCTTCCTCATCGAGTTCTGCAGGAATCTGGTGGCAGCTGGAGCCTCTCTGGAGGAGACCGTCGGGTCCGAAGCCAGCGAGGACGTCCTGAGGAAGAAGCAGGCTCTGACGGCCGTCCTGATGGGCGTGGGGCGCGGCGACGCTCCGCCTCGACCGGCGCTTTCCAGGTTCTTGGATCTGCTCGTCCTCCGCAAGGGCGCGAAGGAAATAAGGGACTTCATGCCGAAGAACTCCGCCAACTGCCGCCTGGGCTCCAAGTCGCTCCTCTTCCACGCCGTGGACTCCAGCGACGAGGAGCTGACGCGGCTGTTCCTCGACCGGGGCGCCGACCCCTGGGCCGCCGAAATCACCAAGGTGCTGCCCATCTACCGCGCCGCCGCCAAGGGGCACGCGCCCATCTTCGAGCTGCTGCTGGAGCGCATGAAGACGAACGCGAGCAAGAAGGTGGATCTGCAGGAGCACACTTTCCACATTCTGAAGAAGCTGATCGAAAACAGCAGGCGGCAGAAGGGAGCGGCGCCAGAGATCGACCACCTAAGGTGTCTGGAAAGGATCCTGCAAAATGACGTCGTCTTGAACCTCTCAAAACCAGGGGACCTNGCCCACCCTTTCCTCTCCACCCCTCCTTCACCCGCCCGCCCCGCCACTCTCCCCACCTCCTCCGTCCTCCACCTCACGCCTCCACTCATACACGCTATTGACATTGACACCCACGCAAACGCCAGCTCAGTCGGGACAGAGACTGTCAGAGAGGAAGGAAGGGATTTCTTTTATCAATTTTGATATTATCATTACCTGTTTTATTTTATTATTATTATTATATATTATTATTTTATCATAATTTTATTTTCATGATTTATTATTATTATCATTTAATTATCATATTATTATTATCATTATTATTTGTTAATCTATTACTATTCATCTCATTATTATTATCATTGATCCAATATTCACTATTATCGTCATTTTTTATTGTTTTTTTTATCATTACTTTATTATCTTATTGTTATTATACCTTATTTCTATTGGTTATTATTATTATTTATTATTATTATTATTATGATTATTATGATTATTATGTATTTTATTTTTATTATATTATATTATTATTATCATTTTATTATTATTTTAATTATTATTATTATTATTATTATTATTTTAGTTATTATTATTACTACTATTATTTTTATTTTTTTTATTTTATTTCATGATAAGTTGTAATGTGAGCTGGAGATTGAAGTGAACCAGATGATGGTAGTTGAACTGTGGTGGTGTTTGAGTGTGGGGTGTATAGTGGTGATGAGACGGTTGGATTGTGTACTTATAAGATGAGAACTGTGAGGATAAGTGGTGAGTAATGATCTGATGATGATGGTATGATGATGATGATTGTTATGATTGTGAATGAAATGGTTATGATGGTGTGATGGTTATGATGGCTCTGATAGTCATATATATATGATGGTATATGAAATGATATGATGGTTAATGATGGTGATGTATGATAATAATCATATCACATCATCAGGGTGTGATATGTGATGATGTGAGGGGTATGATGATAGTGATGATGATTATGGTGATGACAATTGATGATACGCCTATTGAGGGATGATGAGGATGATAGTTTTGATTGGCGATGGTGATATGATTGAAGATGTGTTGATATAAGTTGTGGTGTAGGATGAAAATAAGGGTAAACCAATGCGGTTGACGATTGAATAGTAGTTATAGATATTGTGATGATGGATAATGATGAGGAGAGGTTGATATTGATAAGAGATTAGAGTGTTAGATAGCGATGACAGATATATAATGGGAGATCGATTAGATAGATATTAGAGAGAGGGATGAGAGAAAAGAGAGAGAGGAGAGGAGAGAGAGGAGAGAGAAGAAGGATGTGGGAGAGAGAGAGAGAAGAGGGAGAGATGGCGAGAGGGACGAGAGGGAGGGGAGGGGTAGGGGGGAAGAGATGGAGAAGGGTTGCGGAGTAGAGTAGGGGGGGGATGAGAGTGGGAGGAGAGAAGCAAAGTGAGGAGCCTGTGAGAAAATAGAAGAGAGAAGAAGAGAGAGATGGAGCGGAGAGAGAGAGGAGAAGGAGGGAGAGAGGAGGGGAGAGGAGGAGAGGAGAGATAGCACGAAGGAGGGGTGGAAGGCAGGGAGGATGGAGCCGGAGAGGAGATTCGAGTGGAGAGAGAGAGAGAGAAAGGAGAGTTGCCGCTTGTAGCTGCTGGATGGGAGGGAGAAAGCGGCTGAGCTTTGATGGGGGTGTCGGATATGGGGCGAGTATGCTATTGGGGGCAGGAAGAGAAAGAAGAGAAGAGAGAGGAGAAAACGAAGATGACGGATAATAACAATCATAATTGAAACCCAGGTAAAGAAGAAAGAGCAAACAAACATACAAAGTAACAACTACAAACCAAGAGAAAGTTAGCAAAATAAGACGCTAGTTCTGAGCAAGGGAAGCGTAAGATTTTAAGCTTTGTAATGGGAATTGTATAAGCTTTCCATCTATCCTTTTAGCGCCCCCCCCTCTCTCTCTCTCTCATCCCCCCTCTCCTCTCCCTGTTCCTTTCCCTCTCACTCTCCCCCTTCCCTCTCCTGTTCCCTCTCCTTCCTTCTGCTTCCCCTCTCCCTCTCCCTTTTCCTTCTCCCACGTTGGTCGCTCTCCTCCTATTCCCTCTTCTCTTCCCTTTCTCGCCCCCTTTTCCTTGCTCTCCTCTTATTCCCTTCTAACCGTTTCTCCCTCTCCCCTGCTGCCCCCTCTCACTCTCTCCTTCTGTATCCCCTCTCACATTTTCCTCCCTCTCCCCTCTCTCCTGCTCTTATCCCCTCCCACCTTTTCCCCTCCCTCTCCCTCTCCTCCTCTTCCCCTCTCACGGTTGTTCCCCGTCTTGTTCGACCTTCCCGTTCATCAAGTATTTCTGTTATTGTTTGCTTGCGTCTGTGTGTGTGTGTTGTTGTCTGTCTCCTCCTTTTTCTATCCACTTCCCTTGTTCTGTCTCTTTTTCTCCTCTCTCTCTTCCCCCTCTTCCTCTCTTAGCTCTTCCCCTCCCTCTCCTTCTCTTTCTTTTTCGATTTCTCTCCTCTCTATCTCCGCTCTCTCTCTCTCTCTTCTTCCCGTCCTCTCTCTCTCTCTCTCTCTCTCTCTCTCCTTCTCTCTCTCTCTCTCTCTCTCTCTTCTCTATCTCTCTCTCTCTCTCTCTCTCTCTCTCTCTCTCTCTCTCCTCTCTCTTTAGCTCTCCCCTCCTCTCCCTCTCTTTCGTCTATTTCGCTCTCTCTCTCTCTCTCTCCTCTCTCTTCTCTCTCTCTCATTCTCTCTCTCTCTCTCTCTCTCTCTCTCTCTCTCTCTCTCTCTCTCTCTCTCTCTCTTCTCCTCTCCTCCCTCTCCTCCTCTCCTCCTCTCCTCCTCTCCTCCTCTTCCTCCATTTCTTTTCTTTTTTGATATGGGATTTGAAGGAAATATTGTCTATTTAGCTATTTGACAGTGCATACGATAATGATTATGATAAATTTGATAATGATATGATAAAGTCAAGTAGGGTATATCTTTTTAGCGTGAATACGCATTGCATATTTATTCATTTACCTATCTGTTGATTTCTATTTTTTATGAATTTCTATATTCAAATTTTCATTGCTAAAATCGACGTTCAACTGTCTGTCTGGTTTTTTTCTGTGCTTTGTATACCTCGCATTCTTTTTATTGTTAGTTAGTTTGTTTCCTTGCACGTAAGATGACAAAGAACCTCATACAAAAGGATGAATATTGCACAGAGAACCAACACGTTGACAACACACTACAGAGGCCGAAAACGACAAGTATATTGGGTTAGTGTGAAATAACTTTTTTTTCTTTTCCTTTTTATTCTCCGCTTTTGATAGCTTTTGCGTTCTCTCTCCGTCAGTCTCTCATCGGGGTTATTGGTACAAAAGGTGATTGCTCTCTCGCCTGGTTTAATTGAGAGCAGAAAAGGAGGTTTGTGTATTTTGATGGAAAGAGAGGGGGAAGAGGGAAGGGGGAGGGATGGTGGGGAAGGATAGTAGGAGAGGAGAGGGAGGTAAGAGGAGGTAAGAGGGAGGAAGAGAGGGATGAAGAGAGGAGGAAGAGAGGGAGGAGGGGAGGGAGGAGAGGAGGGAGGAGGAGGGAGAGAGGAGGAGGGAAGGGAGGAGGGAGGAGGAGGGGAGAGAAGGAGGAGAGGAGAGAAGGCAGAGAGAGAGAGAGAGGAGAGAGAGAGAGAGAGAGAGAGAGAGAGAAGTAGAGAGAGACGAGAGAGAGAGAAGAGAGAGAGAGAGAGAGAGAAAGGATAATCCATTCAACAGACAGAAACAGCTTTTCCTTTCCTAACAAGATAATCCTCTTGAAGATTTCTTATTCCCGCACACCCGATGCGAAATCCTTCTCACCGAATCTAACATGAAAGAAGAAGAAGAAGAAGAAGAAGAAGAAGAGAAGAAAGAAGAAAAGAAGAAGAAGAAAAGAAAACACAAATAAAATAAACAAAATAGTTATGTTTCACTTATTGGTAATAAAAAAAGATATATAATGATATAACGATGATTATAATGATATAAGTAACGATGATGATTAATTACTGATGTAACAGTGATAATATTAGTAATAATAATAATAATAATGATAATAATAATGATGATGATGATGATAAAAAACATCAATGATAACTGCAGTAATGACAATAAGGATGATAATAATGGTAGTAATAATAATTATAACAGCATTAATGATAATAGTAATAATGATACTAATAATGATAATGAAAATACTACAACTAATGATAATTATAATGATAATGATGATGATAATGATAATGATGATAATAATAATAATAACAAAGATACTATTCCTACTTCTACTACTACTACGTGTGCTGTGCTGGCGCAGCGGTAAGATGCTGGTCTAGCAATCTTGCGGACCTGCGTTCAATCCCACGCCCGGCCAGTGAGTGGTATCCCCGGCCATTCCTTGCACACAGGGGGAGATTTGGACAAAATAAAACAGACAGTATGTCACAGCAAAGAATATCCATTGTAACAAATGGAATTTAAATCTACTAAAGATAATATTAATAATATTGATAATAATGATAAGGATAATGATAAAAAAATAATAAATATAACGATAATGACATTACACATAAAAGGAGTAATAGTAATAATGATGATATTAATAAGGATGATAATAATGATAACAATAATGACGATAATAATAGTAATAAAAATGATAATATTACCACTAACAACGATAATAACTATAATAATAATAATAGCAACTAGAAGCACTCAGAGCGCGCATACCTCCGCCAAGGCAATAGGGTCACTGATGCAGAAAAAATATTCACACGAAGAATTACATCTTTTCAAGTACACTGATGACGTATGTAAACATGACCTCCTGGACGGTAATGATATTATATATCTTTTTAGTGAATGCTACAGTTACCCCCAATTGCAGAGGGAATTGGAGTAACTGATGCAATCATAAAAAAAAAAAAAAAAAAAATCCTGGTTGAGTTATACTGCTAACCAACGAACGAACAAACAGACTAACTAACCAGCGC